ATCCCCCCCCCCCCCCCCCCCCCCATTCAGTTTACCTTTGGCCGCAGCATTTTCTCGTCTGTGAGCTGCTTTAGACAAGCACTGCCTCGCGTTTTCAGCTGCTTCGGGCAATTTGGACGATTCAGGCAGGAAAAACGCAGGGAGTGTGGCCTTTAGTGCCCACTCCTTCTGTTGGCAAAAACGACTCGGGGTTCGCCCGCATGGAGAGCAGACTTACGGTCCTGTCGCCTCCACGAAGCACCCCTCCTGGGAACTTAGGGAACTGTTACACCTGGGGGAGTCGTGAGAGGCAGCATGGATGGTCCAGACGACTTGAGGGGCACCTGTGTGTGAGCGGAATAAAAGCAAAGGGGACTCGTTAGTTCTCATAGGGCCCGGGGAGCCACTGCCTGTCTGTTTCCACAGGGGGATAGGTGCTCTGTGAGGCTGGTCTCTTCCAGGGGCCCGGCAGCCACGGGGAAGGGGCTCCTCTGAGAGCTAGCTTCCTGCTGCTCGCTCTTTGGCAGGAGATCACGCAGGTCTTTTAATGGCGCCTCTTCCATTCCAGCCTCCGACTCTCAGAGGTCAGAGGAACTTGTGGTTTAAGATTTCCATAGAGCCCTGGCCGGTGTGGCTCAGTGGATAGAGTGCCGGCCCGTGGACCAAAGGGGCGTGGGGTTGATTCTGGTCCAGGGCATGTACCTCGGTTATAGGCTCCCCCCTGGCCCGGGCCCTGGTCGGGGCTTGGGCAGGAGGAAACCAATTGATATGTTTCTCTCACATCGATGTTTCTCCCTGTCTTTCCCTCTCTCTTAGACTCTAAAAAGTCAATGGAAAAATATCCTTGGGTGAGGGTAAAAAAAAAAAAATAAAGATTTTCATAGTAGGGTTTGGATTGAGATGTACATCTGAGGAAAGTGGAGGTTGGACGTCTGCGAGTGGACAGGCCACTGGGTCTATGGATTGGCCCGGGGGTGAGAGACCTAAGGCGATGTCAGTAGGAACATGGGCTGTGAACTTATGGGCCCTTTAGATGCAGTGGGTGTGAGGAAAGAGACACAGACCCAGTTTTCAGAGTCTGACTCTTAGTACAAGGCCCTGTGACCTTAGATATGTTACTTGACCTTCGGGGCCTCAGCTTCCTGTGTACCTGTTGTCGGGAGCAAGTTGGAGCTCAGACCTTATGCATTGCTACCCAGTGCCATCAGAGTGTGTGGCTCATAATAGCTACTCATTCAGATGGGTTTCATAAATGGGTGTCAGGTTAGTTTGTTGAATGAATGAGTGTGCATATCAGTAAACTACTTGGCAGGTTACTGAGAGGCGTTTAGAAATTCAAACACAGTCACACCATTACCATCACCACTACCACCACCACCATCATCACCATCATTACCACCATCACCATCACCATCACCATCACCATCACCACCACCACCACCATCATCACCATCATTACCACCACCATTATCACCATCATCGCCACCATCACCATCATCGCCACCATTATCACCATCACCACCA